GTCTGGGGAACTTGTGCCTCCAGCCTGAACACAATCCGTCACGGGAAACCTTGAAGTTCTGCCACTGTCAGAACACCCAATCACCCTCAAGCATCAGCGTCACCTATACATGTTTAAGAAAAAAACAAAAAACTCTTGTAGCTAATCTATTGCTATTTAACAACTAACTGCTAACAATGGATATTTCTTAGATATGCTTTCAGTTGGAAACTCATCCTAAACCAGGATTTTATTTATTGCTAAATAGTCTATCAGGATGCAGTAGGAGTGAATGAATTCCTCTCAGGAGTGATTGTATGTTTTGGAGCTGATAAAACTGCTGATATATTAAATATGTAATGATACAGCATCAATCTCTCCATGGTAAATATCCAGTCAATTAGCATTTAAGGTGCGGAATTAATCTACACTATAAGCTGATTTACTACAGTGGTTTATGGATAAATCTCTCTATCTATCATATACATCTTTGCATCTTCTATATCTTTGCATCTTTCACCTGATTCATTTTCCTTTGTTCTCTTCCGGTGGGTAGCTTGATTAAACTATGCAGGTCGAAGTCGACTGCAGCCAAAAAAACGCATAGAAATGTGATACAAATGCATCTCCTCCTTGATAACTAAAACAGGTCCACTAACTGGATATCTGTGGTGTTACAGAGAGATCAGTGAAACTATTTATTGCTCAGGTGACACTCTGTGACATGTGTTACTGGATCAGCCAGGATCCATGTCAGGTCTGAACACAGCAAATTACCTTCCTGTTTAGGATGCTATAGGATAAGGGGTCTGAAATAGATAAACCTATAAAATAATCTTCCATCAAAGCATTTTAGTGGATGCTGTACTTGGAGCTTGGAGGAACCCATGTGCAGATAGAGGCAGAAAGGTGAGTAGAAGTATTTAATAGGGTTAAAAAAAAAACATACAAGTCAAACCTGGTGTGCAAACATGAGTGGTACAGAGGCGTTCAACTATGGAGGACTGGAGAATAAGTAAAAACAAATAGACTATTTCAAATTTAACATTTAATTCATCGATTGATAAAACCAATTTAAAAAAGCGTTTTGTAATTGCACATTTAAATTAGATTATTGAGGACAAGTTTTAATTGTATTTATCAATCAATTATTGAATCCTGCAATACATGGTGATTTAATTTCCTTATTCAGTATTCAAAAAGTTTTTTCTTTTTGTTTTGCATTTCAAATCCTTTTTGCATTTTCTTTTATTTTTCTTACTTCACTTAAATGATTTCCGTTTTCCATTTAGTATTTACCTAACCCTTGTTAATAAGCTGTTACTAAAGCGTTAATACACTGTTATCTAACTGGAAAAGAGGTGTTACTCAGCTGGTAATAAACATAAGCTAAACATTTATTAAATTTAAAATAAAATGTTAATATGGGTCAAAAATACTAAATTGAGAGTAAGTTAAAAACAAACATTAAATAACAAAAAGGATTTGAAGATGCGAAGTGAAAAATAAACTGGACATGAGAAAAGGAATTAGTTTTTAAAGTCATTGATAAGGAAAGATATTTATAATCAGAAGAAAGGCAACGCCTGAATGAAATGGTCTGATTGGAAGTAAATAAAATAAAACAACCATAGAGAAACAGAGCAAAACTGCTGTTAAGATCTAACAAATAAAACCAGTCATGTGACTTAAAATAATACTAGAGAGAATAACATCAACAACACACAATGACTAAAATGGCAACTTCAACATAAAAACTTAGAACATCCTTGAGCCAAAACCAAAAGATGAAACTCTCAAGGGAAAACTTAGAACATAAGGAAAAACCTATTCTTAAAGCCCACAATATAAATAAGAAAAAATATATATACAAAGATTAATCCAAGACTCAAAGGAGCCCAAATTAAGACACATGCTCTAATTTAAAAAGCAGACTTTATTCCTCTTTAATAAACAAAGTGAAAAATGCTCTAAGCCAGAGAAAGCTGTCAATGTTGGACTAAAGCCAAACATTCATAAAATGATCATTTTAATTAATCATAAGGAAATATATAATATTTCTTCCTTGTACATTTAATTTAGCTTTTATTGTAAATTAAAATGCTTTAAGGTCCTGATAAATCCAAGCAGGGTGTGACACGTTTGGAATCTTTAAGGAACCCAGCAGGATCATAAATGACTTTGTATTCTGATTTATTATCCATATTTCTACCAACAGAAGTCTCTGCTTACCACTTCCATCTGGGTGTTGTTGGATCTGTTTTTTTATAACTAAACTCTACAGAAGTTTTAACCAGTGCAATACTCTGTGCCCCATATCACATTACCCAAATACTTGTTTAATAAGATTCAAATAGCAGAGCAATAGGCTAGTGAGAGAAGGGGAAAAAAAAGGAAATCAGAGATGAAGCACAGGAGGAACAACATCTACAGGGTGGCCAGGAAACAGGCGCTGCATGTCTCTACACACACACACACACACACACCCACATACACACCTACAAGCCTAACATCCAGCCCATCTCCCAATTCTTTCTTGGTTGGCCCAAAACAAGATCTCACATCAACCAGGTATACGAGAACAAACCAGCTTAGGTCTAAATCTGACTCACCAAAGGATCTGACACAGTGCCTGGGGAAATAATAATGAATATGGAAAGATAGTCCGTATTTTGTTCTGCGAATGCAACCAGATGCATATGGGGAAGGGACGGGGGAAAGGAAAATCAGGAGCAGATGTTCAAAAAACAAGAGATCTCAGGGACTAAGAGCAGCCGGTGTGCCCTGCAAACATGTTGTAACCTTATCCAGCACGGAGCATAATCACTTGTAGCATGTATATCGCCACTTTGTAATGAGGTAAGGTATAGAACAGAGGAGTTCTGCAGCTGCTGCCTGGGAAAGTTCGACCGTTGAGAAGGCAGCCAGACACAACACCGGTTAATTGAGATGAAGACGAGGAAACCACACATGTCTGACACATTTCCATAGCCTACTGTAAATGTTGTGGTGGGAGCGAGTAAAGTTGCACATCGCCCTCTTCTATAGGCTGCCCAGGGCTCAGACATGCTTACAGAACAAAGGAGAGAAATCTGGAGTTCAATTCAGCAAAGAGACCAGACCGTCCTGTGCTATTCCCACGATATGTAAATTGGGAATGTGTTATTTTCTTAAGAATCTATTTTAACATTATGTTGATTTGACAGCAGTTAGTTACGCAAAGCAGGTCTGATTTATAAAATGATGGCTGCACAAATTTGAAAACAATCTAAATTTGCGAATAAGGCACCCTAATTATAAGGTTCTACTTTATTCCAAAGTAAGTTAAAAAAACAATACACTGGACTTTGTTTCCAAGTTGAAAGACATTTCACTTCCAACCCAGGAAGCTTTTTCAGTTCCAAATGCGAGGAATAGTGTTGAGTTTGAGGTTTTATACGGTAGCCTTAAATTGAAGTGAAGATGGTTCCTATAATCTGCAAGTTTCCTAAACAATTTCTCATACGCATTATTCTGAGGGTGCCTTTCCCAAAATGAATTACAATATGCTGGTGAAGATTCTCAGTCATTCAGGTCATGATCATTCCAAAAAAAGTTAAAAAACAATCCCTTGGACTTTGGTTCAAGGTTCTACGTCCATCCATCGCTACTCTGACGGCGCTACTACTAATATTACAGATCATATTACTGATTCAATTAAATTTGATTTGATGTATGTTTATTATGCATCTACTACATGGATACATTTATTTAGAAAGGATGGAACAACAAAAATACCCAAGATTCATAGCTATAATAATAGTAAAATTAAAAAGGAAAAATCTGAACAATACACAGCAATGTTGTATCATTTTGTTGCTATGAAAATGATGTAAGGACTCCCGCATTCTCCCCCCAGTAGCTTTAAAGACTTTATAACCATCACTGCTCCCAACAAGCTCATTGTTTACATACATGCTGCTATTTGCTTAGTTTTTTCATTCATTTATGACAACATATCTGCTGTTGCCGCATTAATTGCCTCTTATTTTGAGGAATAGTCTTGATAAATTGACCACATAACCAGATATACCTCCAGTAAAGTTTGTAATAACTGTACAGTTTTACACCATTTATTTTCTTCCTGTTTTTTTATTTTATTTTTTATACACTTTTAAATTAAATTTTTTGTGCAAATCGCCTTACTAATACTAAATACTCGTCACTCTGCTGCTGTTGGGCCAAGATCTCCCTATTGTTGAACCATAACATATCTTTATTATTCTATTTTATTCTATTCTATTTTATTTTATAATAATTATGGTTATTATTACTGATGTTTTTGATTATGTTCTGATTACTCATAAAAATGACCAAAGAATGTGATTATCATTTGTCTTTTTTTGAAAAATATAAATGAAGAAACAAATCTTTTGAAGTAATTAACTGTTTAATACAGAGAGAAACCAGTGGTAAAAACTAAAATATTTCTCATTGAAAACATTTGAATTGATTTCTACAATGCTCTAGATTTTTGTTTTATCTCTTCCAAATCTGGCAGTGACTGTTAATATTTCAAAGAAGCCTATAAAACGATATTATTTATTCAACTTTATATTTTGTTTATTTCTATTTCTGTTTCTAATTCTGTTGTCATGATTTACTTTTCTCCCTGTTTATAGAAACCAAACAAAGTTCAGAGTTGTTGTTGTATATTTGTTGTTGTATAGTTGTTTTTATTTAGCGGATATTCGATCAGTTAATAAAATTAGTTTTGTTCCCTTCCACCTGCCTGCCTGCCTCTTTGTTTATGCATTTGGATTCTTCTCCAATTACAGTTTTACATATGCAATATATATAATATATACATATATAATACAATATTTACCTTTAATGTATTGAGAATATTCAATTTAATATGACAGTAAGAATAATTATGACTGTTTTGATATTATTTAATATTTTTGAAATATCTCTTCTTCGGCTTTTCCCATTTCTGCTGAAACGCGGTGGAGTCTAGTGTCCTTTAACAGCCACCGTAGTTACCTCCTCCAAATCAACATGGCGCTCCCCTTGCGGACCAATTTTAAACGTCTCTGCCGTATTATTCAGAGGTTTAAACCCCAGAATTTGTCCTTCTGTTCAGCAGCCTGCCCGGAAAACAAGGTACGTCTTTCAGTGAGAGCATAATGCTGTTTTCTGCTGTGAGAACAGAATTTCAGAGCGAGCTTATTTTAGTCAGGAGCTCATAGAAGCAGCAGGTCATCCTGTCTCATGTAAACCAATGAAGGAAGCACCAATCTGGGCTAAACATTGTGTCAGCGCTGTGCTACTCCTGCTGCAACAGTTTTAGAGACAGACAGGCTGATAAACTCATTCATAAATTACAGTATTTGTTGATAAAATATTGAAAATATCCCTTTACACAGGTTATTTTGTACCATGTGTTGCTAAAAACAGGTTGGTTATGTTTATGTTGGAGATTAACTTAAAGAAATATGTAACTATGTCATTATTAATCAACTGCTTTATTTGGAGACTGAAGCGGACACTACTCTGCATATTAGGACAGTTAATGACAATGATATTTATTTGAGAATATGTTCTGTAGGAATCTTTGCATGCCTCAGCAGCAGCAGAGGCATAGCCAGAAAATCTTAATAAGGGTGACCATGCAATAACCAATATACACTGAGGGGTGGCTGACAGTGGATAGACGCAAGAACCTCAGGGTTAAGCTACACTGTTACAACAGAAAAATGAAAAATCTAATGAATATTCTAAATAAAGAGAAACTATACTTTCCTCCAGGCTTTGTAACAAATAGAAGCATATATTTCAACATCCGTGCTGTCTAGATAAATTGCATAGTGGATGATTTTCTTTCAGGTTTGAGTTCTGGGGCAAACATCTTTTCCATTGTCATTACTTACCTACTTTTATCACTAATCATTCTGCATAAATTTGATGTTATAAGTGCTAATATCTACATAAATAGATTTTTAATAAGGTTTTATAAAAATAGTTATTTATCAATGATTTCACTGAAGACTCCCAGATGACTTACAGTGACGCATCATTTTCTCTTTACCCAATATAACCGTGTCTAGTTCTGAAAAGAGCATGAATTCTGTACTTATTAGGGCTTGGTAAAAAAATCGATTCCTTTACATTTTTGCAAAATGGATGTGAAGGGAATGAGATCGATCAGTTTTATAGTGACGTGCGTGACGTTCATATTCAAATGAGCAGGCGTGTGCAAATGGCCACCAAAGTAACACACCACTCAGAAAGCTGTCCCAGCTGAAGTCTGGAACCATTTTGGCTTTAAAACAGCTAAAGATAATGTGCTGGATATGTGACGTTAAGGTGACCTTTCACTACATTGGTAATAAATGGCGCCTTGCATCTTGTGCTGCAGACCACCAAGACTACTTCAAGCCAGAGAGCTGCAAATATAGCTAATAGGTTTATTGAAGACATTTACAAATGGGGGCTGACCAGCAAACACCCTGTAGTTGTTACAGACAACGCTGCACATATGGTTTGTGCATTAGAGATAATGCAGCTCATGCATGTCTGCTGTGTCACATCTGCTCGCTCACGTGAGGCTTCACTTTTTCACTTTTCACAAATAAGTTTGCGCTTTTGAGACAGTTTTGTTCACATCTCAAGTTTAAACTGTCTGATTTACAAGTTTGCACTTTATGTTTAATATGACAGGAAAAAATAAAATACATGAGTATTTTGAAACACAGTTGAACCACTTTCATTGTTGTAAAAGCAGATCGAATCGAAATTAATCGATTTAGAACTGCATGAATCAAAATCGAATTGATTCAGGACTTTGGCGAAAATACCCAGCCCTAGAACTTGTCATCTTTAATGTCAATATATAGGTATGAATAATCAACCAGTGTTTTGTTAATATATTTAAAAGTAAAATGTTTTTAGTATTCCACTTGAGAGTATTACTGCTGCCACCATCTGTATTAGAGGGAAAAATGGTAGGGGTGGCCAATGATTGACTAAGGGCCCCCCATCTAGCTCCGCCCCTGCTCAGCAGGTATGGTGGCTCTAAAAGAGCAGTTGAATGATCTGAATAAATGTTTAAACCCTGCATAGCGTGGCTGTTAAGGTTTCAGGTCTGATGACATCGCCCCCTTTCAGAGGAACAACAGGTCAGTTTTATCAGTTAGAGAAATATGTGGAGCAAAATAAGTACAGCTTAAAGTGACACGTCAATGCACATGTGAATAAATTAGAGAGAAGAAGGTTTTAAACCCTGGTGTTTGTATGGATGGGTTCCCTGACTTCCTCCCACTTTCCAGTATCCTGCCAGGTCTCATCCAAGGTTCCTTAGGTCTGCTTATGTCCTGTAATTAATTTGCAGGGCGTTCTCACCTGTTAGAAAATATTTAGTGATATTTCTTATTGATGTTCACACATGTTGTAAGGGCAGATTCTTATTGATCTTAACATTTTTCTTTTATGCTGTGCCTCAAGTTGCTTCATTTTAAGCCATCTAAACCTGTTACCATACATATCTATCCATTCACCATTACCAAGTACAACTCTTGGAGATAAACAGATGTGGCTGAACCACAAAACTATCAGAAAGCAAGATGGTGACTTTTATTTAGTATAGTGGTGGCCTAGTGGGTACTGCATTGCGCTTAGAACCCAGAGCTACTTAGTTCAAGCCCAACTCCCACGGACTGCTTCGCTGGCTCCCTGGGCAAGACCATTAACCCCACAATGCCCCCCGGGCGCCGCACAATGTCAGCCCACTGCTCCCCAAGGGAATGGGTCAAATGCAGAGAGTTCATTTCGTTGCTCTGCACTTGTGACAATTTAATGACAATAAACTGAGAAGCTGAAGCTTTTAAATAGAGCCAGATTGTCCAGCAATGCCTCCTGGTAAAGAGACAGCTCGGCATGGACCAACCATTCGTAATTTAATAAACTGATCAACCACAACCCAAAAAACAGAGACACAGCATCAAGGTAAGATCTGTTGCTCCTGTGTACAATGACAGAGAGCGGTTTTGCTATATTTGTTGTGATCAGTTGGTAAAAAGTAGTTTTAATATATTGCAATGAGAGAAACTCCACCTAAAACATCGTCTGTGCAGTGAGTTAATCCAGATTATGATCCTGCCTTCAAATATTGTTTCGCTGTCGTAGCCGCTCAGACCCCCACATACCGGTGGTGCACTGGGAACTGGGAACCCCCAACAGCAGCTACCTCAGGCCCAGTCGCCTCTTGGGAATTTTCCTTTACTGTTTGTGGCGGCTGGAAGTTGATATTTTTTTCTGGTTTGTCGTAAAAAATGCAAGCACCAGAATAAAAAAAGTAAACAATTTCAGTGTAGGGGTCATAGCGCTCTGCATCAGGAGCGCTGTGTCTCTTTCTCTGCCAGCTCCCAAATCAGCTTCTCTGATTGGTGTATTTAGCGCATCGAGCAACAAAAATAAAAATTTTTCCAAATCGAGCTTCTGCTGCCTGTGAACACTTGAGCAACGTTTCCAGGGGAAAAACAAGGTGTACAATTTGTTGTCTTTGTTGCAAACATTGCTAGCTAAAAGCCTGCTGTTAGCATTTTAAGTTCACCAAATTTTCAGAGACGGGACAACTGTGGGGAATAGCACCACCTCATCCAGAGGCTATGTTGGGATCACGGTTGCTTTCAGCAGTACTTCCACCTATACATGGGTCAGTATTGGGCCCTGCTGTCCAATACTGGGGGACGAATCATCTGGACAACAGAGGGTTAGGTGAAGTTGCATTTACAGCTCAGACAGAAGTAACAGGAAATCGGTGTTAGAAAACCGGCAGAGAAGAAAAACTGAACTGGGACAAGTGTGTTAATCGTGTCACCCTTTGGAACCAAGGAACCACAGTGGTAGATCGGAGGAGCCCCCCTGGGAAATAAGCACACTAGATTGGGGAGAGGGGGCAAAAAGAGTGGAGGTACCTGTTGAAAAGCTAGCTATAGAAAATAACTGCGGAGGAACCGAAGAGCACAGCGGCAGATCGGAAAAGTTTACTGGGAAGATAGAACACTGAAGGCAGGGTAAAGACTACAGCTGCCCGGGATTAGGACAGAGGAATATTGGAGAAGCCAGCCAGGGAGGCAGATCTAGAAGCGGCTATGACTGGGTGGAGTTAGCCTCTAGAGGTTAACTGCAAGAGATGAAATGACTATTACTGAAAATCAGCTAAACTAACCCAGGCAGACACCGGCTGAGCTGCAGAGAAAATGCATCGGCTGATCGTCTGTGCTGGAGGTAGGACACAGAAACTGTCCTTTTAGGGCTAAATTAAATTAAATTGATTGATTGACTTTATTAATCTCACAGTGGAGAAATGTACTCTTTACATCTGCTCAAATAGTCAAAAATAGAAGTTTAAGGTATACACAGTCTGTCCACATATGACAGCTGAAGTCTTTTTCTTTTTTATATATATAAAGATTATTAAACAAGGTTATTACACAGAGTATTGACATGGGTATTTCTATAGATGTACATTTATTTATTTATATACTGCCACTCTGGCTCTCTGAGCAAGACCCTTAACCCCACACTGCTCCCCAGGCTCCCCACGATGGCAGCCCACTGCTCCCCAAGGAGATGGGTTAAATGCAGTGGTAAATTTCTCCAATGTGAGATCAATGGAGTAAAAAAAAAAAAAAAAAAAATATACATATATATATATCCGACCAGCGCCATCTCTCGCCACTCAGTCCCACGTGGGGTTTTTGGATGTGCAGTGTGAGCAGGTAGATTGCATCAGAGCGTCGGATCCCACACTGTGAGAACATGCATTGTGAGTTGTGAACTTTCAAACCCTGCGGTTTCGTCGTACAGTTTGAGCTGTAGTTGTGTGCAACAATTGAAAATATCGCACAGTGTATGCCCGGCTTAAGAAGCACGTTTAAACAGCTAGTTCTTGTTGCTCTCAGAGGAATGTTAAAATGTGGCTCGTTGAAATGCATTAACATACAAAAGATTATTCGTCAGCCATGCTAATTTGATTCTGCTTTGATCCTGCTCTAACATGCAGCACAGCTAAATGGAAGCTATTTAGTTGATAAATTGAGAAGTTTATCTACTGATTATTTTTACAAAAAAATTTTTATAAATTTATTCTGCATCCTTGT